GGTTCATCTAATGACCTGTCATGATTAGAGTCAGGTAATTTGCTTTTGGCAACAATATCACCAAAGTGATGTTGTGTTTCTCTCAGAGCATTCTGTCTGGTGGCTTGGAATTTTAATTACCCCATCCTAGTGACATTAACTCTGATCAGTGGGTTAAAGGAGTGTCTTTCAGGTTTGTCCACTGTAAAGTTACCTTCTTTTCTTTTACTGGCAAACTTTGAGCAGAGAAATAAAAAATTCAAAGTGGCAATTAGGGAAAATTAGAAATTCTGTCTCAGTCAAACAGATTTGAGAGGGATTTTTGAGTGGCCAACCCAAAGCAAGGCCCTTGGAGCACGTTAGCTTCTGGGGCAGAGGGAATACATTGTCCTGCTCTTCTGACATTGAACCCTAGTCCATAAGCCCTACCAATACCTCTAACTTCTGAGTTTCCTAACAGCAAACCATACGGCCAAGATGTCAGATGAAGTGCCAAGTATGAGAAATTACAGAAGGTTGAGTTGGTTTACCAGTTGTACCTTTGTCTTTTCTAGGCATGAATTGTGATGCTGGGAGCAAAGGATGGACTTTGGAGTCAGAGTATCATTTGGTGGGAGGTCCCCATTTAATTAACTACCAGGATTTTGTTCTTCTGGCAGGGAATTCAAGTTGAGGGCAAGATTTGAATTGCTTGGCATATTAGGTACAATTTTTAGAGGATATTTATAATAGGAGGCAAGAGACCCAAGGCAGGAAAAGAGAACTTTGTGTAAGGAAACATATTGAGTGGAGAAACTGAAACATGCAATGCATATCCTTCTGCCTTTGTTTCACACTGAATTGAAATCTCTCCAAGGAGCGAGATATAATGGGGTAAAAGTCCTGGGCTCAAATACAGGCCCCTACCACATACTATCTTTGAACAAGTTAACTAACTTGACTGACGCTCAGTTTCCATATGTAAAATAGGGAAATTAGGCTGAGCACAGTGGCCCATGCCTGTAATCCTAGCATTTTGGGAGGCCGAAGTGGACGGATCACTTGAGGTCAGTAGTTCAAGAGCAGCTTGGCCAACATGGTGAGACCCTGACTCTACCTAAAATACAAAAATATTAGCTGGGTGTGGTGGCACATGCCTGTAATCCCAGCTACTTGGGAGGCTAAGGAAGGAGAATCAGTTTCCTCCCCAGGAAGGGGAGGTTGCAGTGAGCCGAGATTCGCGACTGCACTCCAGCGTGAGCAACAGAACAAAATTTCATCTCAAAAAAAAAAAAAAAAAAAAAAAAAAAAAAAAAAAAAAAAAAAAAAGCAAAAAAAAAAAAAAAAAAAAGAAGATTGGGGGAGACATTAGTACCTATCTCTCACAGGGACTTTATGAAAATTAAATGAGATAATGCATTAAAATGACAGTATAAAACTTTGGACATCAGGTAGGTCCTTAAATACAAGGTCTTGTTTGTTGTGCATCCCAGGGACTGAACGCAGTATTCTGTGAATCAGAAGCTGCAAGTGACATCCACACAATGGAATATTACTCAGCCCTAAGAAGAAATGAGCTATCAAGCCAAGAAAAAGCAGGAAGGAACCTTAAATGCACATTGCCAAGTACACAAAACCAGTTTGAAAAGACTACATGCTCTATGATTTCAACTGTATAAGCTTCTGAGAAAAGTAAAACTGCAGACAATAAACAGATAAGTGGTCACCAGTGGTTGAGGGGAGGAAGGGAGAAATGAGTAAAGGGAGCCCAGGGGATCTTTAGGGAAGTGAGACTGTTCTGGAGGATACTATAATGGTGGATATATGTCATCATGCATCTGCAGAAACCCACAGAATGTACCGCATAAAGCAGGAGACCTAATGTAAATGATGGACTTGAGTTAATATATCAATATTGGCTTTTCAATTGTTACAAATATACCATACTCAGGCAAGTTGTTAATAATAGTGGAAACTGGGAGGTAGGAGGAGGAGGGAAGGATGGGTATATGAAACTCTCTGCCCTTTCTGCTAAACCTCAGACTGCTCTAAAAACTAAAGTCTACTACATGCTGAATAAGTGAGTAAGTGAATAAATGAAGGAACACATGATTTTCCATAAGCGTTTTATTGTCGCTCAGTGCCACCTGATCTCGAAGGCCCTATGGAATTCTTCCTCTGTCTTACATGGGATCATCCACATCTCAGCCTCCTCCCCAGCCCATCCCTACTGACCTTTACTGGGGACCAGCATGAACGCTGGCTCTACCTTTGAGGGAATTTTTAAAAGATGCCTTCTCCAGGTGGCACAGCCCTGTGGCAGCGTGGCTCTGCAGTCAGAGCTTGGTTGAGAATCCAGCCAGCTCTTGCCTCCTTGGTGAGGACCACCATCAGTGGCAGACACAAACCTTCCAGTGTCTGTCACCCATTGTTTTGAGTATTACTTCACTGATAAAGCACCATTCCCAGTGCTGCCCTCTGCTGGCCCTCTTGTCTGACCTGGGGCTTTCCCTACCAATGCCCTTGGCACACATTCAAAAACCCTTCCTGGGCTCCTGGTTATTGGCCAGGGGAACCTAAATGTTCTGCTACTGGCCAGGAGTGAAATTTCCTCCAACAATTTCAACCCAGCCAGAAGGTATTGAATCTGGACTGGCTCCTCCCCCATTGCATCTCTCCCTTGCCATCTTACGGTGCACAGAATTGCGGATGAGTCAGTGCTAGGGTATCCTTAGGAGCTAGCATCACCCTGCGTTCCCACTGCCTTAAAGCAGAACCTCTGGCTTAGACAAGGGGACCCAGAATGTCAAAATGCAGTGTTCAGAAAAAAATGGCAACCCCTGCAGCCCTGCTCACTAACACAGGTGGAGACACAGTGCGCCATGGGGAACAGAACACAAATTTGGGAGCAAAACCCCAGAGTTCAAGCCCTGTACTTGCCTCTTCTGACCTATGCAATTTCTTACAACTTAACTTCTTGAGCCTCCACATGTTCACCTACGCAAGGGAATAATTGTCTTGCTGGATCACTGTATTAGACATGGTAACTGTAATAGCTAACAGTTACTGAAAATTACTGTGTGCCAGGCACTGGGCTACACATGATATGTATAAGACTATGTACTCCTGACAACAATTCTCTGAGATAATATACATGGTAGAAAGCAAGTATACAACAAGTCACAATGTTACCAATGGTTGCATCAGATGCAATTTTTTTTTTTTTTTAACCTACAGAAACAGCCCATTTCATATCATTCGGCTGCGTATTGAAAGAAGGGGGCTGAAGGGTTTCCAGACTAGAGATTTAAGCAGGCTGGGAGCAGATTAAAGTAAAACCCAAGCTAGTGACTGAGAGGTGAGGGTGAGGGACAGCCCCTCAGGGCAATAGCTAAAAAGGCAGAGAAGCCTTACTTCCAGATCTCCAATTTGAAAGGAGACCTGGAATTCTCACACTAAATAGTAAACTGAGGCAGAAGCATCACAGCAAGAAAGAACTGACCCAGGGCCAGGATCAGTGGCTCATGCCTGTAATCCCAGCACTTTGGGAGGCCAAGGCAGGCAGATCACCTGAGGTCAGATGTTTGAGACCAGCCTGCTCAACATGGTGAAACCCCATCTCTAATGAAAATACAAACCATTAGCCAGGCGTGGTGGTGCATGCCTATAATCCCAGCTACTCGGGAGGCTGAGGCAGAAGAATCACTTGAACCTGGGAGGCAGAGGGTGCAGTGAGCCAAGATCATGCCACTGCACTCCAGCCTAGGTGACAGAGCAAGACTCTGTCTAAAAAAAAAAAACAAAAAAAACTGATCTAAACACATCAGGAAAGCTCTAGACCACTGCTTGGCAACCTTGAGCGTGCAGCTGAGTCTCATACCAGCCTTATTAAAACACAGACTGCTGGCCGGGCGAAGTGGCTCACACCTGGAATCCCAGCACTTTGGGAGGTCAAGGCGGGTGGATCACAAGGTCAAGAGTTCAAGACCAGCCTGGCCGAGAGACCAGCCTGGCAAACATGGTGAAACTCCATCTCTACTAAAAATATAAAAATTAGCCAGGCATAGTGGTGGGTGCCTGTAATCCCAGCTACTCAGGAGCCCAAGGCAGGAGAATCACTTGAACCCAGGAGACAAAAGTTGCAGGGAGCCAAGACCACATCATTGCACTCTAGACTAGATGATAGCATGAGACTCCATCTCAGAAAACACACACACATGCGCGCGCGCGCACACACACACACACACACACACACACACACACACAGACTGCTGAGCCTTTCCCTGAGAGTTTGTGACGCAGTAGATCCCAGCTGGGGCCGCAGTTTACATTTCCAACAAGTTCCCAGGTGATATAGATGCTGCTGATCAGAGAATCACACTTTGAAAATCACTGCTGTGGACCAAAGGTTGTAAACTGGTGCTGTGAAAACGAAATTCAACTTCTAGTCTCATTTCATTTTTTCTTCTACACCGAGGTTTGAATTTTTAAAGTTTTTTTTTCCCACACTTGAAATCAGGGTTTCACACATTAAAAATTCAGGTTTTCACCTTGGAAAACTGAGAGAATCTTGAAACCCCTACTCCTGTAGCACACCCATTGGCTGGAGTGATTAGATGTTGCCCTCTGTCTGGCTCTTGGTGGGGATATATGGTTTGTACCTCTGAGCTTTGTGTTTCCAAAGTCAGCTGTCAAGGCATATTTAATATCTGTGTTTTAATTCAATGCTCTCTGCTTTAAGAAAAGCTTTAAATTAGTTTATTGGCCAGAGTTTAGTACCAGAATCTAAGCCAGAGGAGAAGATGCCAATTGGGCCAGCATGTCCTATGTTAATTGGTACTAACCTACAAACCCATATTAAGAACCGATTTTATGCCTTTTCTCTTCTGTGAATATCCCGTTTCTACCACAGATAAACCAATTAATGGTCCTAGGAAGTCAGGGAGGGATATCTAGAAGCGTTTACAAAGAGATGTGGCAGAGAGCCTCTAAAGTGACCCGAGCGATCCCACCTGCACGCCATGAGGGTGCTGATTTTCTCCGTGGAGGTGCCTGCAGAAGTAATGATCCAGTGTTGGCTGGAAATAAAATTCGATTCATGTTCAGGAATACCTGGAGCATCCAGCCAATAGAGTCACCTGCTGTCAAAGCTTTCTGATATGTCTGTGTCCATCCAAAAAAGTCCTGTGTTGAAATCCTAACCTCCAATGTGGTGGTATTGACAGGCGGGGCCTCTGTGAGGTGATTAGCGCATGACAGGGCTCAACCTATCCGCCCCTCCCACAACGTGAGGACGCAGCAACGAGGCGCCATCTTTCAAGCGGAGGGCGAGCCTATCAGACAGTGAGTCTGTTGGCGTCTCAGTCTTGGACTTCCTCACCTCCAAAACTGTGAGTAATACATTTTTGCTCTTTATAAATTACGTCGTCTAAGATGTTTTGTTACAATGGACCTAACAAACTAAGCCACCCGCTACGTGGAAGTTTGTTCTCAACCGAATTTTCTTCCCACGTTCCCACGTTCGTACTGTCTAGTAACACTCCGTTAAAAAAAATTAATCATTTCGTGTACGAGGACTTTCTGTAACATTTACATAAGCGAAAACTGAGTTGCATTATTTTGTTTAGTTGTTTTTCTCTCCCTACTTTACTAAGATCCAGTCTTTTCAACTATGTATTTTAAGATACGTGGTGCCAAAAGTGCACAAACTTTCAGAAATTGACATCTTTGAATTCCCACTATTCAAACTGTGGTCTGAGGGCCAGGGGCATTGCGGTTCCTGGGAGCCTGCCATGATTGCAGAATTATGAGTCCAGGCAAATTCAATCAAAATCTGTAGAATAAGATCCCCAGGTGACTTATTTGAGAAATCAAGCTTAGGGCAACAGTGCTCTAAACCAAGTACTGGATATAGAACTCTACATGGATCTCAGAAAAAACTGGGAGCATTGATACAGTGATTTAAAAAAAAAAAAAAAAAAAAAAAAAAAACTTTGGAAAAATCTTGGAAATGTAGTCTGCAGGTGTGTTCAAAGTTGGAGAACCCCTTTGCAAGATATTTAAATATTTCATGAACCCACATGACAGAGATATATTAATGTTTGTCTCTTTCTAAAACATTCAATGAGTAATACTTTTAAATGAGTACGTACATTATTAATCAGATTATCTATGTAATTTGGAAAATATTCATATTTATACGTATATTTTTCAGTTCTACGAGCAGTGCTTGCACACATATGGATTCTCACAGTCTTTGTTGCAACTTCACAACCCACAGATTAGGAAATACTGGCCTAGAAAAATAATGATTAATAAATTACTGTTACAGGATACATTTCTTTCCAGTGCAAAAAAATCTAGAGCAGTTGAAGAGGACAAAACATACAAAAAAATATAAGAAAATGTGTGGGTTTTTTTTTTTTTTTTGTATGTTTTCTTTTAGATACAGGGTCTCACTCTGTCTCCCAGGCTGGACCACAGTGGCATGACCATAGCTCACTGCAGGCTTGAACTCCTGGGCTCAAGAGATTCTTCAGCCCTAGCCTCCCAAGTAGCTGGGATTGTAGGTGTGACTAAAAAGGTTTTGATAAATGGTTCATATCCAACTTCCAAACCTATTTAATAGCCCATACCAGTAGCTCTTGAATGTGACTGAGAATCACCTGAAAACCTGGATAAAACTACAAAGGCTCAGGCCCTCACTGTTTTACCAAGCCCCTATTAACCCTAGTAGAGAAGGCACAAGGTTCAAGAGGCCAAGGAAGAGACGCAGAGCCAGCAAAGGAGACCTGGGGTTTCGTTAGGGGTTTCATACAGGGGAGAGAGTCCAGTGGCAGTGGGCTGGAAAGGAGAACCAACTTAAATTACCAAAATGATCCGGTGGTGATGGGCTAGACAACATATCCACCTTCCTACAGTGCCGACTGGCTGGGCAGAACCACAATCACCTACAAACATCATGCATCAAATATTATATAACATTTTCACTTACCCTCCCCTAACAACCCCCATCTGGAAACCTTTATTTAACCCAAGAATGCCTGGCCTCAGTCCCCTGTATGTGCCGTGTTACATGGGACAGGCTGGGGCTCAGATATTTTCTTAGGTAAGGAATGAGTCTCTGGGTTGGCTACTCCCAGATTCCCTAGCTCAGAACACACATGCAGGTGCATCTGCCATACAGGGTCATTCGCAGGGTGTGCTTACGTTATTGCTGTCAGGTGTGTTTACCCCATACTTACCTCAATGAGCCCGGGCCTTTGCTTTCTTAACTGCCCAGGTGTTTTTGCACACATCCTTGTTTAAGAGTCACTGCTCAAGAGCTAGGTTTCTCACCTGTAATCCCATCACTTTGAGAAGCCAAGACAGGTGGATTGCTTGAGGCCAGGAGTTCAAGACCAGCCTGGCCAATATGGCAAAACTCCATCTCTACTAAAATTACAAAAAATTGTCTGGGTGTAGTGGCATGTGCCTGTAATCCCAGCTACTCAAGAGGCTGAGGCAGAAGAATTGCTTGAATCTGGGAGGTTGTAGTGAGCTGAGATCACACCACTGCACTCCAGCTTGGGTGACAGAGTAAGAATGTCTCAAAAATAAAAGAGCTAGGTTTCTCAGCCTCAGCACTGTCAACGTTTGGGGCTGAATAATCTTTTGCTGTGGGTCCGTGTCCTGGGCATTACAGAATGCTTAGCAGCTTTCCTAGTCCTTACCCACCAGATGCCGGTAGCAACCTTCCCAAACATAAAAACCAAAGTGTCTCCAGACATTGCCCAGTGTCCCTTGAAGGAGAGCAGGAGTGGGGAAGATAGGAGTGTGGATGCTCACCCCTAATTGAGAAGTACTAGCTGAACAAAATGAGTTATATGTTAGATTTCTAGGGTGACATGGGCTTTGGTTGAGATCTGTACAGGACCACCAGAACCACAGCACTGGGTGGCTCTGCTCACCCACACCAGATTCCCCGGGTCCTGCCTGATAGCCGGTGTCTACAATTACAGATGTGTCTCTGACTATAAAAGTTCTAGTCCATTCTGATCTTGACACATTGAGACTAACATGATTCAAATATTCCTTCATGGTTTGAGTTCAATTTAGAGGCAACATGCAAGGCTCAGCCAGACATGTGTCTTAAGGGCAGAGTCACATTTGTCACACACACACACCAGACCAGTCAATATCTCTTTCAAAAAAAAAGGAAGTCTTTTCTAAAGCCAACTTCCAGCCTATGTTTGAAAATTATATTCCACAAAGATGAAAAACGTACATTTTCATTTTGTTTCAAATTAGCACAGTAAACAGCTGGCTCTTTTCTTTCAAGTGGAGGTCTTAGCTCTGTTTGTTAGCTCTCTTTCTGATATTTCACCTATTCTTTATTTACTTAACAGAGTTTGACAGGAAGTTCTCAGAGAGATAATATATCTCCATTAATAGGGTGACTAGGGGAACATATTCTAAGGTTTCAAGTGGCCTGGAACAATAACTTACATCTTTGACGTTTTTGTCAGCTACCATCCCATTAATAGCATCCAATAGCGCTTCCCCCTAATCCATGAAGGCTTATGAATGTTTTGTGGAAAAGCACACTTTTTATATTTTTCAGAAGATGAAGGCCAATACACTGTTATCACCAGATAATGGTGCAAATTAAAAAGGCTTGTGAGAAGGGCCACCTGATCTCCATAAACACAGTCTTCTGACATAAATCAGACTACTAGAAAGAGAGAAAATGAATCAAGCTGGATTTCTGGGTGGATCGAGGGATTTAAGGGTCTAAAAAGTCTTCCTCCTCAGGGGTTACGAATTTGTGTTGAACTTAAAAGTGTATAAAGAGAAACCTGTTCTCTAAAACAAACTTTTCCTTTGTTTTAGAGGGAGGGTGGCTATTGGTGAACAACAGGGAGTGCTGTAGGATTTTACCAAGAGATAAAAACTTTTTATGATGACAAACATAAATGCACTTTCTTCTTTGTAAGACATCAGAAAAAAGCTAAAAAATACATCAGAGTTTCATCTGTTAGGAATTCCTCTGCCTGTGCAATAGCTTTTTACACTGACATTGCAAAAATAAAATCTCAGAATGAATTGAAGGGATGCCTTGTATCAATGTTTTCATGGCCAAATTATAGAGATCCAGACTTGCAAGGGAAAGTAAAAAATTTCCCCCATCTATCAGAAGCATCTCCAATTAGTCATAGCCCCAATTTTGTCTAAGAAGTGTCTCCAATAATTGATAATGCAAGGGGCATGATATAAGGTAACAATGCAATTTATAGCAGAGAGATAAAACCCAGATAGAAGAACATTTACCTTATAATGCTATTAACATAAAAGTAATTACGAGGGTTGGTTCTAATTAGAATGTTCACTTAGAATCAAGATAGAATGACCAGAATAGTGAGTTTCCTGGTGTTGGAACTTCATTCTTTGACTGAAAGGTTACATGCATTTTCCAAGTAGGATATTAAAATCTTTATTTTTAAGATGGGGCCATTTAAAAATCCAAAGTTGAACCTCTCCTCCATATCTGTAAAATCATCAGGAGAAAGTATATAAGTTATATAATTTTACACTCTATATTCTATAGCATATGTTACATATCTAATATGTATACATATTTCGGGGGTTGAATTGTATCTCCCCTAAAAGACACGAGCAAGTCCTAACCTCCAACACCTGTGATTGTGACCATAGTTGGAAATAGGGTCTTTGCAGATGTAATTAAGTTAAAGTGAAATCATGCTTGTTTAGGGTGGGCCCTAAATTCAGTGATTGCTGTCCTTAAAAGGAGACGTAACAGGAGGATATGTGAAGATGGCAGGAAACATTGGCTTGTGCAGCTACAAGCCAAAGAAGGCTGAGGGTTGCCAGCAACCACGAGAAGCTAGGAGAGAGGCATGGGACAGATGCCTCTTCAAAGTTTCCAGAAGAAACTGGAAACTGACATCTTGATTTCAGATGCCTGGCCTCCTGAACTGCAGGAGAATACATTTTGTTGTTTTAAGCCATGCAGTTTCTCGTAATTCATTACAACAACCCTGGGAAACTAAGACAACATACATAACTTTTGGGTTCTATTCTTATTAAGAATATTTTTATTCAAAATAAACACTTAAATTTTGTGTTCTGGTTGAAAACTAAACTTTTTTAAAACATTGTAAAATGTATTTCAGACTAAAAAGTAGACATTTCATTCCATCTTAGTGTGCAAAAGATGGTTTCTTTAATTAAAAACCAAATATCATTTTCCTTTTGAAAGCTGTTATTCTAAAAGTCAGTCTTCTGGAAACTGGGAACATGATCCCTACCAAAAAACTAATTTAAAAAAACACAAATCAAAAATCTAAAGGAGCTCTGATTGCCTAAAATAATTGTCGTGTAGCTTTCACAACTCTGTCCTCTGAACTTGTTTCTTGAAACCTCATTCAATAATTACTGACTTTATTTAACAAATATTTCTAACATGTTATTTGTCCATTTCAGGTGATAAATATTGCAGGGGGTGTAGGCATATATAATAAAGGCAAAAATTTCTCTAAACAATCAACCATTGAAGAAAGAAAAATTTGGAAGAAAAAGCTGAACAATTTTAGATGTTCACAGTCCTAACAAGGGTCATCAAGAAAATCTAATTTCATGTTCTACATCTTCAGATAGATATAAGATGTCAGAGAAACTTGTAGGAAAGGGCCTATTGAAAATCTTAAACATAAACATTTTTAAGTTGCTCCTTAAGAAAACTCAATTATACTGGACACTTTACTTCTGTGTTACACATGTTATCCTTCAGCCTTGATTACAAGTGTTACTTTAGCTACCAAAAAAATAACATTTAATTTTGAAAACAATTTTTTACTTAATTTGTTCTTATTTAGAAAATTCTTATGAATGTAAATGGGCTTGTCTGTGATCTGTGTTGATATTTAAGGTGCTTACATAACCATATGGAAAATGAGATGAAAATTCCTGTTTACATTTCTTGAACATTTTACATATTTTTTAAAGTTCAAATTTTTTAATGTTAAGAGTGTTCTTGTTTATAACGCACATAAATATGTGTCTCAGAAAAGTAATTTTAATAAATGTCTGTTTGCTTGAATCAAAAGGCAATCCTTTGAATTCAGCTTCTGATTTGGTACAGGGAGCTTGGAAACTACATGAGGGAAAGCAAGTCATTAAGCCATCTTTCTTGAGGCTAACTAGTAGCAAGTCACCAGTTCATTGATCAGAGATTTGGTTATCTGCAAACCTGTAGACAAACAAATTTGAAATCTTAAGTAATTTTTTTTTCCTATAGGATTTCAGCCACCACCTCAAGGATTTTATACTAGTGGCTTTGCAAACAAATTTAGTTGGCATGTGGTTTTTTTCAGCCATATCCAACACTTTAAAATTTGTTTAAATTTGAGTGCCTTTAAACAAGGTGTGCATTACTAATCCTTCTCAGTCCCCACTGTTCTCTGCTGTTTTATGGAAGCCTTTTTGTCCATTTACATTTTCTGTCTGGTCCGCTAAAAAATCAGTTTTTCTCTGGCCACAACGTAGCTTCTAATTTAGTTAGTGACAAAAGTTGCCAGTTGTATCTACCATGACAGTATTCGATCTTGCTATTTGGAGTTTCAAATGATGATGAAAATTCAACCATGTGGATTAATTTTCTTTGGGTCAAAGGATCACTAGAAAAGCCCTAGGCTATCCCGGCAGACCTCCACATGCCTCAGAAAACTGGCTAAGAAGGGACACACGCAATGAGCATTTCTGGGATTCCTCTTTGTTCCCTCCAGCGTTTGATACCATATCATTGAAGCAAATGAACTTCCTGAGTATAAACTGTTTCAGACCATGCCAGTAGCACTTCTGAGCCAGTAATGCAGGGACAGTTATTTGGTTTATGATAATGTCTGGCCCAGTGTGGGATGTAACCTGGTGCAGTCATCTTGAGACTATTGCGGGAGAAAGTAGAGCATAGGATTTAACATTGAAAATTAGAAGTTGATCCTACTTCTTAGACAAAATTGAGATTGACAAAATTGAGGTTTATCTACATAAACCCTTAAACAAAGATGTGGTTCTGAATCAAAATTAGAGAACTGGCGGAAAAAAATGAAGTTGAGGATTTTGTCCTGTTTAATTTCTTAAAGGAAACTCTTCAAAAGGAAAAGAACATAAGAAAGAAAGATAGGATCAGCTCTCTTCCTGTGCTGTTTTGGGCTGGTTGCTGGCGAGCACCATTCTGGCCACACATTTGCTGGAAAGGGCAGTTTCTGTGTGTTCTGTGACTTCTGAGATCCCTTATAACTTAAATGTGGTTCAAAGGCCTCAAACCACTGAATTCTCCATGGTCTAGTAAACCAAAGGTTTCTTGGGAAGTCCTTTCTGAATTAGAAGTAGGTTATCTATAAAATGCTAGCCTCAGACCATTTCTTCGTTATTTGGTTTGACTTGTTCTATATAAAAAATTGGCTAAATTAGATCATAGGCTAGTTGAAACAGATCCTCTTGCAATGTGTTTACATTAGGAATCTTTTCTGTGGCAGCTCTCCCAATGGTTTGCTGAAATAGTCACACAACGGCTTTGGGTTCATTTCAAAAACAAAAAGTGACCATTAGGAGCTTCAGGCTTTTGCCTAAGGGTTACATATTTCAGCTATGTGGTAGCCAGAATATAATCTCAAAAAGACTTAATTTAGTAATTGAGCTTATCAGAGTCACAGGATACAAGGTCAGCATGAAAAACCAGACACATTACTACATGTTCAATGTAGAAACTAACATTAAAACTACAATAACATATAACACTGCTCTAAAGAAAGCTAAGTACTTAGGTATGCACTTAACATCTGCAGTATTTGTATGCTTGAAATTACAAATGCTGATGAATGAAATCAAAGATAACTACAGAGACATACAGTGTTCATGGATTGGAAGACTTGCTATATTAATGATGCAGTCCTCCCCAAATTGATGTATATATTTAATGCAATTCATGTCAAAATAACAGCAAGGTTTTTCATAGACATAAATAAGTTTATTAATAAAATGTATGTGGCTAGGCATATGTCCTAAAACATCTAAAACAATCCTGACTCAGAAGAAAAAAGTGAAAAAAAATTAACCTGATTTGAAGTCTTACTATATAGCTACAGTTATCAAGAAAGTGCAATGAATTAATTAGTAAATTAGTATTAATTAGAAAGTACAACATGTATTACTGAGGTATGATGAGTATTACAGAAATAGACACACAAATACACCCAAGTGATTTCAGATAAAGGTGCCAAACCAATTCAGTAGAAAAAGAATATCCTTTTCAATGAACGTTGCTGGAGTAATTGGGCATTCTCTGGCAAAACAAAGTGAATCTAAACCTCACACCTTATACAAAAATTAACTCAAAATGGATCATATTCTTATGTGTAAAACACAAAACTATAAAACTTTTTAAGAAAAATATAGGAGAAAAACCTATAGGATGTAAAGGCTAAGCAAAGAGTTCTTAAACATAACAAAAGCATAATCCATAAAAGGAAAACTTACTAAATAATCCTCCAAAAGTAAAAACTTTGTTCTTTGAAAGCCCCTGTGCAAAAACTGAAAGAAAAGCTACAGATACAGGGAAAATATTTGCAAATTATATATCCGGCAAAAACAGTTAAATAATACAAGTTTAAAAAAAAAAAACTTTCAAAATTCAACAGTAAATAAATGAGCAATAAAATTAGAAAGTGGCTAAAAGATATAAGCAGATATTTTACAGAAGAGGATACACAAAGGCAGATCAACATATAAAAATATGTTTGATATGGTTAACCAATGTCAAGGAAATGCAAATTAAAACCACAGTGATATATTGCTACATGTGTATCAGAATAGCTTTTTAAAAAGTACAACACTTGAATGCTGGTGAGGATGTGGAGAAACTGGACCACTTATACATTGCTTTGCTGATGAGAATGTAAAATGGTATAGCCATTATGGAAAACAGTTCTGCAGTTTCTAAAATTACTAAATATGCAACTACCATATGACCCAGCAATTGCACTCTGGGGCCTTATCCCCTGTAAATGAAATTTATGCTCACACAAAAACCTGTGCATAAATGTTCTCAGCAGCTCTATTTGTAATAGCCCCAAACTGGGATTGGCTCAGATTTCCTTCAGGAGCTGAATAGTTAAACCAGCCGTGGTACATACTATGCAGCACCTGCATAGCATGGAATACTACTCAGCAATTAGAAGGGAGAAATATTGATAATGTGTAAGAACTTGGATGGATCACCAAGGAATTATACTAAATCAAAGTCATTCCCCCTAAAGGTTACACATAATATGATTCCATTTCTATGCCATTTTTGAAATGATATGATTTTAAAAGGTGGGGTGGAGACATTGCCAGGAGTGAGGGATAGGAGTGGGTAAGGGGTGGGTGTGGCTAAAAAGGGGCAACAGGAGACATCCTTGTGGTGTTGGATGGTGTTGTAACTGTTCAACATCTTCACTGTGGTGGTGGTGGATATAGGAACCTACACGGCTGATAACATACTTAATATACAACATTCATACACAAATACAAGTATAACTGAGGAAATCAGAGTAAGAGCAATGGATCATATCAATATCAGTATCTTAATTGTGATATTATACTACAGGTTTATAAAGTACTACCATTGAGGAAGGCTGGGTAAAGTGTACAAGGGATCTTTCTGTAATATTTCTTAAAACCACAGTGAATCTACAATGACCTCAAAAGAAATTTCATTGGGGAAGAAAAACATAATTTGAAACCAAGATTTAACAAGGTTCCACGTAAATTCAAATTTAGGAACTGGGAAAGGAGGTAATTAATTTAAAATATTTGATAAAAGCAAGGCCAATATGAGATATCGTGCTGTAGGTCTTTATGACAATTTTATATCTGAGGGAAAATTTAACTGTCATCTGGTTTAAAACTGGCCTCTAAGTGATGTGCTCCAGGGATTTTTAAAACTTGTCATCTCGCGCCTAGTTTGTTGCTTATAATGATGTGATTCAGATCTCTGCCTGGTCAAACCAAAAATGCAAATATGAACCAATAGGTCAACCTACAAGAACATAAACCACCTACTTTCATTTGGATATGCAGGCACAAATTGATAAAAATCACTCTTCTCTATGTTATTCCTCTTCTAAGGACTATTGTAAGATTTGATGTTGAGATTTCTGACTAACTTTGTGCTGCAGTCTCTCTGAATCTGATCATTTAGGGAGAAGGCTTCATTCTTCCCCAGTGAAATTGATCTTGACATTCTTTCTGTAGATATTAATAAACCACCTACAGCCATGTGCCCACCACTGAGCTGGGTTGACCTCAACCTCCCCTTTCCCACCCCTGCAAATGGCCATATCCCCAGACCCTAGCCATTCAAGTGTTCTGTGTTTAAGGATAGATGCCTGAAGACATTTTTTTAAGTCCCAAAATAAAGCCTTCTGCTCCATCATATTGAACATTAAACTATGAAGTGTGGCTGGTTGGGCATCACAAGTACATTGAACAATAGCAATTCTGATAATAGCAGCTCACATGTTTTCAGTCCTCATCCTGTGCCAGCCACCGTGCTAAGCAGGACAGTCATCTCATCTGTTTCCACCCTTCAGGAACCATTTTGATTACCATTTGACAGATAAAGAGGCTAAGGCTTGTAACAACTAAGTATCTGGTGCACAACCACACAGCTAGGAAAGAGCATGGCTGAAATGAAAACTGGCAAACTGACCCCAGAGCCCAAGCTTTTGACTACCGTGATACATTGTCTGCAGGTTTTCTAAGGGAGCTTCACAACCATCTGTTTTTCTAAGGATGTGTTTTGCTTTGGGGTGGGTTCTGACAGTGTAAATTTAATAAACCCTGTATGATGTTGAGGGCTGTCGCTTATCAACACAGGTGCAACTGTACCTCCTCTCCCAATACTCCACTAAGGATTGGTTTGAAATCTCCCTGCTGTGTTGTTTTGTCATGGGCTTCTCTGCTCTTTACATGGTTTGGATTCTTTATTATAAAACCCACCTACCAGATAGTAGAATTTATACAGGCTAGACAAAGCTTCAGGGAAAAAATATTTTCCTGCATTCATTGATTCCAATCCAGCAATTCAATTTAACAAATATGAATCGAGTTATGCTCTGTAAAGTACAAAATACTGGGAATATTAAGGTCAACTGGAATTTACATTATAGAGAGGAGAAAAGACAAACAATAAAAAAGCAAATGCATATCAAGAGGTTAGTTGGGAAAGCTAGGGTTGAAGGATGGGCATGTGGATGCTATTTTAAATATAATGACCAGGGAAGTTTTCTTGGATAGTCACTTTGGGCTCAGACCTAAAGGAACTGAGAGAATGAATCATGAAACTTCCTGGGAGATAAACATTTCAGGGAGTAGAAAGAGCCAAGGCAAAAGGCCATCCAAGTGGGGTTGTACTTGGTGGGTTAGAGGAATTGCAAGAAGGTATGTGTATGTTGCACTGAGTGAGCAAGGAGAAAAGAAATGGAGGAACTATTCGAAATGGGGGCATATAGTGCAGGGAGGGTTTATGGGTTACTGAAAGAAAGTCAGTGGTTCAGCCACTGGTGGGCATCGAGTGGAAGAAGAATGTGAATCCAACTTATCTTTTGAAAGGATCACTCTGGTTGTTGAAGTACACATACACCACAGGAGAGAAAGTCTGAATCCAGAAGTGCATTCAGGTAGTTACTGCAATAGCACTGGCCAGCGTGGCTGTGGAGCTTGGAAGATGGAGATCAGGCTCTCAATATATTTTGAAATGATTTGACCAGATTTTCCAGTGGAGATCTAATGTAGTACATGAGAAACAGAAGGATGTTAAGGATAATTCAAGGACCTGGCGTCTGAACAATGCTGAAGATTTAATTATTACATTCAACAAAAAAATTTTTAACTTATTTCAGTTATAAAAAGTAATGCCTAAGCTGAGTCCTGGAGAAAAAACAGCAGTTAATGAGCCAATTGATGAGGCAGAAAAGGTGTTCCAGCCCAGCCTAAGCATGCCTATAACCCCCAGAATGAAAAACCATGGCCAGACAAGGCAGAGAAAGCTACTCAGTATGCCTGATGTGTGGTCAGCTAAGTTTGCCATGTCACTCAGTTTTCACTACTGCAAGAAGCTCTGTGCTAGTGTCAGGACTACTGTCTTCCTACTCAATACCCAAATTAACCTGTACATGTGTTTCCAATACTGCCTTGGTTAACTAATATTGATCGAGAACCTGCTTGTGCCAAGACAAAGGTACTATTCTTAAAGAGTTTATGTTCAAGTAACAGGTGTTCCTTTATTGTGG